TTAAAGAAGCGGGGGGGTTGGGGGGAGGCGCAGCCCCCCAATTGCAAACCATTGGAGAAATTGACATTGACGGTTAAGAAGGAGGGTTCTCTATTAGACACGATACCGGCTCATGTTCCGAAAAAGCGAGAGGTGGTGACAGCTCCCCTAGTGTGCAAACCGTTGAAATTGAGGGATGTGACAATTGCTGAGGTTGATTCACTAGAGCAGACAGGGTCGTGTCTAAGTCAGCAAAGGACGTGGGAGGGTGTGGGAGGGTGAGGGGTCAAAAAAACTCAGTAAGTAACGACGAAACAAGTTAAATAAAAAACAACAAAACTTAAAACTGAATTTAACCAAAAATGAAAATTAATGCTTGTGCAGACTAGCTAGATGCAAGCGGACATAGCGCTCTCTTTCACGTGCACTCTCCACCTGGACGCTTCAACACTGCAAATGGCACGTTTCGGAGATTCGGAGGAGCAAAACTAAATTCAATGAGGATCAAAAAAAACAAACGATGAAACTTGATGAGAAATGATGAACCACAATGTAACATGATGACTAATGAAGAAAAATGACGAACAAATGTAAAAACCCATGAAACATTGTTTAAACGTGTTAAGTAACCTGATGACACATGATGAAAAACCATTCCGCATGATTAAAGCTTTTGAAACAAACGCAACGCGTCGAGAACGATGAGAGGGTCCTCATTTAGGCTCAGAATTTCGAGGACGCTCCACGCGCCAGCGTCACGACACGCCTAGAACAACGAGAAGGCCGCCACTTACGCCCAGAATTGCGAGGACGCTCCACGCGCCAGCGTCACGACACGCTTAAAACAACGAGGTTGCCACTTACGCTCAGAATTTCGAGGAAACTCCACGCGCCAGCGTCCCGACGCGCAGTAAACAGCGAGAGGTTCGCCACTTACGCACAGAATGTCAAGAACGCTCCACGTGCCAGCGGAAAACAACGAGAGGGTCGCCACTTACGCCCAGAATTTCGGGGATGCTCCACGCGCCAGCGTCACGACGTGCGGAAAACAAAGAGAGGGTCGTTACTTACGTCCAGAATTTCGAGGACGCTCCACGCGCCAGCGTCACGACGTGCGGAAAACAAAGAGAGGGTCACCACTTACGCCCAGAATTTCGAGGACGCGCCACGCGACAGCATCACGAAGCGCCGAGAACAGCAAGAGGTTCGCCACTTACGCCCAGAATTTCAAGGACAATCCACGCGCCAGCGGAAAACAACGAGAGGGTCGCTACTTAAGCCCAGAATCACCACTAGGAGAGGGCATTGCGTCTGAACAGAACGAAAATGAACGAAACTACACCCCAATCCCACCCGCCCCCCTCCACCGGAACCTTGAAAGCAAGAAAAGCGCACGAAAACACACGGGCGGGAACGTCCCGCTGTCCAACTACTAGCCTCATGGAAGTTGTCCAGACAGTGGTGTTGTTTTTCTGTGGTGCTCTGCAGCTGTTCATTCGTTTACACCAAGGCAAGAGCAACAATCCGCAGACTGGTGTCTAGTGCCCCAAAGAACTGTTGTTGGTAATCAAATTGTTTCTCCATGTTCTTGCTAGCTCTTTGCGTTCTTGCTGATTTTTGCTGTCATATTCTTGCTTGCTTCCTGTTATGGTTTTGCTGCATTATTCCAAGTTACAACCGAAGCAACCTCGAACACATCGATTCAGCCAGCGTTTCTAGAAACTGAAATGCTTGAGAAACAGAAAGCAAAAAGGCTAGGGAAAGGTACGCGGATTGTACTGAATAGTTGTGATTCAAAACTTCAGACAAATCAATGACGAGGAACCCAGCGCAGAATGCGAACAAAACAGCCATGGTAACTAGTTGTGGGAATGTCGACGTACTAACAAGATCAATCACCAAGCAAGAACTGAACAGAATCGACTAGACCATAAATCGCAAAGGAGAAAGGAAGAGCCAGAAGATGGAACCTCCGCAGAAAAGACTAGATACACAAAAAAATGGCCAAGAAGCATGCACAAACGCAATCATCAGAATGCAAAAAGCGATAAGCAATGAGCATACACAGAAAGCAGAAAGGAAATCGCCAGTTCAAGCGACACTCTAACTCTTGCAGCTCTCTTGTGATTATATTGTCAAGGTTTCACAGTTCACATATGTTCACCTATCCACCTTTCCACCTGCCGCTCTGGATATTCCGCAACTCCTGCATCCGCAGCCTCTCATCCCCCCAAATTCAGGATAATGCAAGCATCCATCACTAGAGGCCTGTGCTCGGACCCGATCCAGCTGTGCAGACACACCTTCTGCAAGCGCCTGACGAAGGCTCTGACTTTCAATCGAAAGATTGGCATCATGGCTCAAGACGAGCGAAGAGGTCGTACATGCAACTCTTGCCACATGTTATGTTAAGTGGCTTAAAATGGCAAATGCCCAGCCACTGCAACAGAACAGCAACGCTCGCATGCTTGCAACCTTTCAGACAGTGATGCAAATGTAGCAACTGCAGAACGTGAGAGAGTGGTCGCTTGCAAGACATCTGCTGGCAGCAGGCCGCCTTGATGACTTGCACGCTGCTGCTGCCGCTGGAGGGCACCAGCATAAATCCCTGCACCAGTCGACAAGCAATTTCTATGCCCACTGCCAGAGCATGCTTGGAGTAACGAGCCACCTGTCACCTGTCCTGTCAGCCCCTTCAATTTCCCCTTCGAGTAGACTTGGGAAGCGACAGTCCACAAACGTGGGATCCGCCTCACACTACTTTGGAAGAATTTGCAAAGCTGGCTCAGGCCACCTTCAGCAAGTGCACCAGGGCGTTCACATCCAGCTCCTCGGACATCTGGAACTCTGGGCATGCACATCAGATGCAGGCCCGGGGGTATGTTTTTCACATGCACGTTGCCCTGCTTCAAACTGCACGTGTCATTGCCGGCCGCGGTTCCATTCAGGAAACCAGCGGATGTTCAAAAATGAGAAAACAGTTGCCTGGAGGCGCTTGAGCACCTCCTTCCCAGCGCAGTCCACAAGCGTGTCTGACCCCCTCACAGGAACCTCGGAGGCTTTGATTGCAAGCTTATCACGTTCCCTTCTACAACCTGCTCTGCAGCGTGATGCAACGTCGCTCGAGAGGTAGACTGGGCTCAAAACCATTGCATACGCACTGACCTCAGGTTTCACATGAATTTGACCCGCCATGTAACAGTTGTGACTGCATGCATGATAGCTTTTGGTAGATATCATGGGGTAAATGCAAGGTCGTAGGATGTCGTAAGCTTCCCGCATGGGGGGGCTCCCGAGGATTACTGACAACTTGTGCCTTCGTGCTGATGCGGTCACATGCAGCCTTTCTGTGACTCACGATCGTTTCATTTTTTGCCTTGCAACCATTCTGCCATGAGAGTCCCATAAAGGGGTATGGGAAGCAGCGACTAGATACTTTGCAGCCTCAACGCGAAAAACTGCTGCAGAAGTGCAAAGATGATTGCCAATGATCTTTGAAGCCAGGGTTCAAGCAGCAGCAAGTCATACGCATGCCAATAAATTGTGCAGCTGCACTAGCAACGGCTCCACTGCGGATTCTTTTCAGATGCAGGACAAACTGAGGCAGGAACCGAATTGGCAAGAGACTGCTCGGAAAATTCCTTCATACGGGCAACCACCCAGGGCCTTGTCAGTCAACAGAGAAGGTCCGGATGGCCGTCAGGTCTGGGTAAAAAGGTTTGGAGCAGCACACATTGATGCTCAATTTCCCGCCGTTTATGTCTGAAGGAGTTCGCTGCAACGACACAGGTTAGGACTTGCATATGCAGGCCAAACAGAAGGCAACGGTACTAGTTCTTGCTCATGATGCTGCACCACTCACGTGATATCAACATCTCAATCCAGCGGAGCATGGTTGAGGCCACAGCAAGCACGCATGGAAAAAGTCCAGGACCTGTCATTTTTGAGCGCGGCTTATATGGCTCTCTTTAAGAATGCTGCCGCTCAGCTTCCCTCTACTGTAGCTGTGGTCTTGAGCATGTACGATTCTCACAGCAGCAGATCTGTGGTCTTTACTCCTTTGCTGTCATCCCACGGACAAGCCTCAACCATGATATGAGCGGCAGGGCAGACGCAAAAGAAGCTTGGCAGGGACAATTTGTAGAGGCTGTCCGAGCATGACCAGGCCATGCAGGGGCGAGAACAACTCTGCAAGCAAGGTACTGACGGGCCTGCTGGGGGAAGCTGTCAACGTTGGCTGCGGCTGGTGACATCTCATCTGAGTTTCCAACAGCCTTTCACATAAGACAGGATTGCAATAGCCAAACATGACTCCTTTAGTGAAAACGAAATCATGAATCAACAATGCTTCGGTTTGTGGAAGACTTCCAGGGTCGGCTTTGTGCAGGCAGTGATCGTAGCATGGCAGGTTCAATTACCACTGAACATGCCATTACGTGTGCACCCAAACTAAGTCTCAGTGCTGCCTTCCTGGCCTGCAATGTGAAACAAAGATATGAGTTTAGCCATCCACTGGCAACTTGCACTCAGCTCAGGAACGCCACTCTCTACTAGAGCCCTGTGATACGAATGGTTCACGACACGACACACTCGCTCCTTGGCTGTGGCCAGGAGGGTGGAGGAAACTTCCTGGCGGCATCTGGCGGCATGATCGGCAGGTTTCACAATTGCCAAAAGGTTGTTGGCTCCAGCTGGCATTGGCCGCGACGGATTTCAAGTTGCCAGGAGTGACAAAGGCTGTCAGCAACACAGTGATCCAGAAAGGAGCAGCGAAGGATTCAACCCCAAACGTACATCAAGAATCTCGTAGAGTGCCAAGGGCCGGAACAGGACCCAAACCTTCCCCTTGCCAAACTGCGGGGCTGAATTGGCAAACCCCTTCAACAGAGCGCAGCATTTCCTACACTCCATCTACCAGCAAACAGACAGCTTCATGAAGGATATAAGTAGAGACGCACGCGCCTGGGGCTTGAAGTTTTGCAACTGCTGCGTACAAAGTGGCAGCAGGCACAACCTAGCTGCACTTCTTCGGGCATAGTCTCAAGCAGGAACAAAGTACAAAATCAAATTGCAACGAAGAGGGAGCGGAGCTTTGGCGGGGGGAGTTGCTGGAGCCGCTCACGAGTTTTCACACCGCTATAACTTAGGGTTTGAGGAGTTGATGCGGGGCTGGCACCAGGACACGCTCAGCGCTTGAATTTCAGTCGGTTTCTCTGGCTATCTCTGAAGCTCGAAAGCTGTGGACTTGGTTTGCAAGGCTTGCACGCTGTGCTTACGCTGGCTCAGGGGCCTTCAATGCTGTGCTGGATCGCAGAACTGCCGATAAATTACCGCGACAGCTATATTGCTGTGCGCCGGCACCCTCAGCCGTTTCGTTTCGGCTTGGCAAGCGGCTTGCTCTGGGATTCTTTTGGTGACACTGGAAGCTACAATGTTCTCCGATTATGCAATGCTGTTTCGTGTCTACTTTGCTGCTACTTTGCCGCAGAACAGCGAATTGATTGATGCAGCCCAGGCACACTGTCTGCTGTGTGAGCGCATGCTTTGGCCTGGATTCATGTGCTCGATTAAGGCTTAGCCTCGGACGCACACAGCATCTGCAACACCAAGATGTTTTCAAGCGGGCATTGTCACAGCAAGGCTTTTGGCATTCTGCATGAGAATAAAATGAATTCACAGGGGTTGCCCTGGCCCATCCCAAACACGCCTCACTCGGGCAAACGCCCAGAGGATATTCGCCAAGTGCTGGGATTGCAAATCCTGTGAGGGTGAAGGAGGTCTGCTGAAGGCCGCGACCCAACTCATGAGAAAGCTAGATCTGCATGATTTGCAGTTGGCGTAGTCAGTGAAGGAAAGTTCAGGCTTGCTCGTCCCTTCCCAAATTCGTCGTAGTAGCGATTAGCTGATTAGCAAAGCAGCTTGCCCGGGGTACTTGGCTGAACCCTTCACCGAATCCGGTCCATCTTCTGCGCGACCATGGCAGCTTTGGCATAGAAAGCCTGAAGCAAGGTGACAATTGCAGTTTTCTTTTGGGCACACTTTGCGGTTCGATTCAAAGCCCGCGAGGGCCGGGTTGTGAGAATACTTCTGCATGCAATGTATGAATGCTTGCAAATGCACTAGGTCATGTTCGCCCCCAAGAATATGAACACCACTATGAATATCCAGTGAACACCAAGGCCCCGGTTGCTAGCATGAATTCTTATCACCCCGCACGTCTGGCTGGCCGGCATCATTGTCTCCCAGAGGCCACGACAACTGGATGACACGAACCACGCAAACCCTATGAATTCGAGGTTCCCTTACATTTGGGCAAAGGTGTGCGAAATTAAGTAGCTTGTTCAGACTTCTGGCCCTAAACACCTTCCTTGGGCCGGATGGGGCAAGGCCAGGTCCCCGTGTACAGTAGTGCTAAGATGGCACACGCCCGCTGGAATGGGCCTCGTGGAAGAAGCTGTTTGTCGCGAAGCCCCAAAGCATATTCGAGATCTCCTCGCAGCCAAATAATTTTCACTGCGCATCAAACTTGGAGGATCTCGAGTCCAAGACAGACACGTCATGGCCCATGGCATGTCGTTCGCATCACCAGCTTGCGCAAGCTTGCGTTACGCAGTGGGCTTAGGGCTTAGGCAAGATGCTGCTGTGGCTGGAACGAACTCCTGCGGCTTGAACTCCTCAAGCCGGTGAAGAGCCTGCTCTGCCAACTCGTTGAACCTCAATTCCAAGATGTAGACACAAGCCTCCAAGGAAAGGTCTTTGTAAGGCTAATTCCAGGTAGATTTGCAACGAACTCTGGTGAGCTCCGCAAGCAAAACCAGTTCAGGGTATGGGCTCGCAGGTTCTGCCGCAGGCCAATGATACATCTTGCTTCTTCAGCACGACACATCTGATCGAAAGGCACACTTGCAAACAACTGATCTCTTCCTGCGTTGCTTGTTTCAATCATTCTGGTGCGGTTGGTGACAAAAATATTTACTCTTCTCGATGTTCTCACAAAAGATGAAAGTAAAAGAGCGAGCTATCCTGAGGCATTTGCAGTGCATCGTCATGAAAATCAGCAGTGCCAAACGCCCAGGCCTCAGAGCTCTGCTCAAAGCCCAAGCCCACTGCTCTGCCGACCACAGGCTGTCGTAAAATCAAAAGGAATATTGGAATGATGGAAGATAAATGGAAACTACTAATAGTATATTGGGGTTATGCAGGGATAATGGAACAGAAAATGGAAGCTACTGTTTACGGTTTAGGGTTTAGGGAATCCTCACAAAGCCGAAGAATGAGAACGGACTGCTCCAAGATGTGCGCCGTGTTTGCCATCTCCTGCAATTCAGAGACTTTACTTCAGGTGGATTTCCCGTAATGCTGCGGTGTGTGAACATCAGAGGTGGACAGAGGGGTTTAAGGCTGGCCTAAGGGATCCGGTGCCCTGCTCCCATGGGATCAAGATGCCAGTGCATGAGGAATCTACAATAATGGCAATAACAAGAATAGTGATGATGCTAATACAAATAATTCTACTAATAGTCATCATCATTAAAATAGTAGTAACAATAATAACAATCGTAATAATAGCACTAATCAGAAGAACTATATGAGGTGTGTCTGGTTCATGCAACTTCTCAAAGGGCGCCCGTCAATGAGTCAAACTGTTCAACAATGACTCTAGGAAATAAAGCTTGCAACCTGACTTACTCAAATCTGTGCGCTCCACAATCAGACTGCAAAATCAGAAGCATAATTACGACAGTAACACCCAATCAACATAATGATGTTCGTGCTTGGTAAAAGAGATTGATTGTCGCTGACTTAATGTAACCGCCTCATTGAGCAAAGTCGGGTCTAATGGAGACCATTTGGCTGACTGGGACCCCTGAAGCCTCATTAGCATACCAATCCCAATCATCAACATCGTCATCATCATCCTTCCCTTCCCGCACGATGCAGCCTGGCAATTGGCTCCAGCAGCTGCCGGCAGCATAGCTGCGGCCATGCTGCGAAAGAGGCGTGCGTGCCGCTGCCTTTATCAAGTAAAGGTGCCCGCCCACAACTGACAG